CTGTGTATTGGCCAGGTGCTGCTTAATTGGCCAATTTAATGGTGCCGAGACCTTGTTTGGGGTGCTTGCCTAACACCATGAGTTCAGCTGGGTTGCCAGGTTCTCGCTTAACATTTGCAAATGTCTGTTTCTAAGTGGAGCGTGCCTGTATAAATGATTGGATTCTGAAGGGCCTCCTTTAAGAGGGAATCAGGTGGGGGGTGTATAAAAGGGAGTTTGCATTTCTTTCACTTGCAAAAATATACCTCTTAACCATGACGCTTGAAAGAGTTTTAGGTCAATAGTACCTTTGGAAGTGGGGGGGGGGAAACCAGCAATTTTCAGCTAGGGAGAGCAGAAACATTGCCATGATCTTTGGCTCCTTGAGGTGTTTTCTTTGACGCTTGCATAGCTGAAGGAAGCCAAAGAAAATAACCCAGCAAAGAGGAATCTTGAAAAGATCAGGCAGGTGGCTTCTTAATAGCCCCAGGTGTTGCAAGGTAGCAGCAAACAAAATCTTGTGTACTTACATATGAAAGGCTCCCACTTCTTCATCAGGGAGTCTCTGTGTCTCTAATATTTGCTGCCATCCTTTCTTACTCATCTGACTGATGAAGACCTCTTGGAAAAGTGATTCAGTAAGATCTCTGCATCTCTTTTTTTTTTTCTCTTGGGCAAACTTTTTCGTAGAAACTACCTTCTTCTACATGTATTCAGTGTGTCTTGAACTCCCCTGGGGGTGCAACTGTTGCTTAGTAATAAAGCACACTGCATGCCAGGAGTCCCAGGATCAAGCCCTTGAAAAGATACCTTCTGGAAAACGCCTTCCCACCAGCATTAGCTGGATATCTAATCTTGTATATGGCTGCTTTCTATTCGTCTTTTGCTTTTCAAAGACCACAACACCACCCCAGAGATGGCACAGTAATATAGAAGGGATGAGAAGGCTGTTGGGTTCCTTTCCCCCCCCCAAGATTTAAAAATCACCATAAAAGACAATGCCAGCATTCCTTACCAAGAGGGCAGAAGGAAAGAGAGATATGAAAATGTCAGATGCATGAGAAAGCACATCCCCCTGGGAGAAGACTTTGAGTGCCAAGTTATTAAAAATCTGAGTTTTGAATCCCTGTGTATTTCCCCCACCTTCCTTTGCTGAATTAGGGGTGACACCTCTTTTTCCCCAACAGGCTCCCCAGCACGGCCTTCTCCATGCTATGAAGAGCTTTTCAGTTTAATCAGTAGAGGCCACTGAGAGGTTTGTTCAGTTCGATCAATGCTTCAAATGCGATTTGCAGATATCATCCTAAATTAGTAAACTCTTAAAAAGAAAACCAAACCCAAAAGAAAAGAAAAAAAATTGGGAGGTCAAAACTGGCATCTATCCATGCCTACTCCACAGGACCTACATTTTGCATTTGTACAAATGAGCAGATATGTTCTGCTGGCCTTCTTTCAGCTGTCTGGTTTATCTTGGAGAACATCTAAAATGAAGCTCAGAGTCAACATACGTGTTACTTTATTATTATTTCAGGAGCTGTGGAGTTTTGTTTGGCCTTGTAAAATACATTCACACTGATTAAATCGTGTGCCAGAGTCTTATGAGATTGCGCCAGCATTTTTATATATGCCTTAATAAACGTGGAAGCTCTTGTATCTTAGAGGAAGAATCCCACCTGCTCTTTTTAATATTCCAAAGATTAAAGATTAAGCACAGACAGATTGGCAAATGGTGCCTGAATTTGGGAAGTATTACTTTAAAAGAGTTCATCTGGAAATGCAATGATATGAGTTTTAGGCAGCAAACTAATACTTTGTTACTTGCTACCTACTTTGTTTTCTGCTGGGTGTTTAGTATACAACTTTTCCACCCCAGAGAGAAAAGCAGCTGGGGATCCCAGAGAGACGGTTTGTTTTAATTTTGTGGACAATTTGAGATGATTTTTTTTTTAATTTAAAAAGTATATCTTAGAAATGTATAAGGGGGAAAAAACATCAACAGACCGTGACCTACACAGGACCAGCCCCCCATGCTAATCCAAGGCCTAGGAACAGTGCAGCATCCTTTAAGCAGTCCTCATCTCTGTCCAACCCTTCCTTCAAGACTTTTGTGGTTCTCCTCATTCTCCTCATCTCTGTCCAGCCCTTCCTTTGAGACCTTTGTGGTTCATTTGCTTTCAGAATGAAAATAATCTTGCGTACTTTTAGCTTCACTCACAGGACCCATTCACTGGGGCAGGATATACTGAGCACCTGTTATCCACAGTTTCATGAACTACATGAAAGGGGAAAAGGGTACTTCTACAGAGACTCTGAGACTGGTTTCTTCTCCATCCCATCGTTGCCCCCTGCCAGTTTCTGCTGGCGGTGACAGCTACCTCCCTCTGGTGCTGGTACAAATGTTTGTACCCAGGTGAATGAAGCAAGCAGCCGATAACGCTGCTAGGGCTCAGCGAGGTCCTTCTGAAATATTCACACCCTGCTCACCACATGGTAGCTACCTCCACTAGTAGCAACAGGTACCACAGACAGGTTCCACTGCATCAGTTGAAGGGGGTTCAGCTGTTGCCTGACTGTTCCGCTTGACCCCATCACCTTTTCTTGTTGCACACCTTTTCCCAACCTAATTAATACACAAGTGGAGGAGTCGTTCCTTCAGTTTCGCCTGTTTGCCTCAATGTGCCTTGTACATTCGGCCACCTGCTCCAAGTCTGTATGAACTCCCTCAAGAGAGGCTGAGCAGTTCATACTGTTTCCATTTCTCTCTCATTAATTTCTGCCCCAGCTTCCGTTGTTTTGAATTTCTGCCACAGCAGGTCCTTCCAAGGCTTCATTGGCCACTTGATTTGCAGAATTGCTCAGAGTGGGATGTGATGGCCACACAGATGGCCTGACTGCATGGTCCAACTGCCCCATCGTTGCTGAGATGAGCTGTGACAAGAAGCACAGAAGAGACAGTGGGTGGGCTAGAAAGTTTGCTTGCTACATAGAGCCCAGGCTCCTGCCGGGCATCACTAGGACTTGTTAGAAAGACAAAAGTATCAGAAATGTCATAAGGAAAACAATGATCCTGCTCCAGGTCATTTCTCTTTCTTCCCCCCTATGGAAAATGAAATAGATAGTCATTATTCCAGAAAGCATCTTGGTCTGTGTTGTAGACCAGTTCAGAAATGGGAGGTGATGTCCACGTTCAATGATATAAAGAGTCCACAATGGTTTATATATAGGGCTGGGCAAGCTTCCCACAATCCCTCACACTGATGATGTTACCTCGTTGGGTAATGAAATGTCTGCAAACAAACCACCAAGCTCAGAGAGCACCAAGAACTCCACAGTTCAACCCTGAGCTGCAGATATTTTTTTTCCATTGCAACTTCTGAAACTATTGCCAAGAAAACTGCATGGGCTTGTCCAGACAGTCACCAGGAGCTAAGACTGGCTCGAAAGTACAAAGAACTGATCCACTGGGGCAAAGTAACAAGTTACTGTAAAAGCATAGAAAGAGAATCTTTTGTTGGAAGTTGGGCTTAAACGCAGTTCCCAAGACTGAAAATATGGGTGGATAGTGGATTAACAAATCCATACTGATTAAATATTTCTGAACCCACTTTTCCCCATTTTTTTTTTTAATGGGACTGTTGAGTGTGTTACTATTCAGGTATTTTGCAGGCAATGATCACATTCCAGTTGTTTGTGTTTTCCATTGCTTTGTCACTTCTGAAGCCAGCTCTTTGCCGCTGAACAATTTATTGAAGTTTGGACCTGAGCTGAAGCCCACTCAGAGGCCTCAGAAAATATAATGAATCCTGAACTGAACCTAAATCTGAAGGGGTGCAAACCTTTTATATAT